AGAACTGAACTAGAACTGAACTAGAACTGAACTAGAACTGAACTAGAACTGAACGAACTGAACTAGAACTGAACTAGAACTGAACTAGAACTGAACTAGAACTGAACTAGAACTGAACTAGAACTGAACTAGAACTGAACTAGAACTGAACTAGAACTAGAACTGAACTAGAACTAGAACTGAACTAGAACTAGAACTGAACTAGAACTGAACTAGAACTGAACTAGAACTGAACTAGAACTGAACTAGAACTGAACTAGAACTGAACTAGAACTGAACTAGAACTGAACTAGAACTGAACTAGAACTGAACTAGAACTGAACTAGAACTGAACTAGAACTGAAACTAGAACTGAACTGGAACTGAACTAGAACTGAACTAGAACTGAACTAGAACTGAAAGAACTGAACTAGAACTGAACTAGAACTGAACTAGAACTGAACTAGAACTGAACTAGAACTGAACTAGAACTGAACTAGAACTGAACTAGAACTGAACTAGAACTGAACTAGAACTGAACTAGAACTGAACTAGAACTGAACTAGAACTGAACTAGAACTGAACTAGAACTGAACTAGAACTGAACTAGAACTGAACTAGAACTGAACTAGAACTGAACTAGAACTAGAACTGAACTAGAACTGAACTGAACTAGAACTGAACTAACTGAACTAGAACTGAACTAGAACTGAACTAGAACTGAACTAGAACTGAACTAGAACTGAACTAACTGAACTAGAACTGAACTGAACTGAACTGAACTGAACTGAACTGAACTAGAACTGAACTAGAACTGAACTAGAACTGAACTAGAACTGAACTAGAACTGAACTAGAACTGAACTAGACTGAACTAGAACTAGAACTGAACTAGAACTGAACTAGAACTGAACTGAACTGAACTAGAACTGAACTGAACTAGAACTGAACTGAACTAACTAGAACTGAACTAGAACTGAACTAGAACTGAACTAGAACTGAACTAGAACTGAACTAGAACTGAACTAGAACTGAACTAAACTGAACTAGAACTGAACTAGAACTGAACTAGAACTGAACTAGAACTGAACTAGAACTGAACTAGAACTGAACTAGAACTGAACTAGAACTGAACTAGAACTGAACTAGAACTGAACTAGAACTGAACTAGAACTGAACTAGAACTGAACTAGAACTGAACTAGAACTGAACTAGAACTGAACTAGAACTGAACTAGAACTGAACTAGAACTGAACTAGAACTGAACTAGAACTGAACTAGAACTGAACTAGAACTGAACTAGAACTGAACTAGAACTGAACTAGAACTGAACTAGAACTGAACTAGAACTGAACTAGAACTGAGCTAGAACTGAACTAGAACTGAACTAGAACTGAACTAGAACTGAACTAGAACTGAACTAGAACTGAACTAGAACTGAACTAGAACTGAACTAGAACTGAACTAGAACTGAACTAGAACTGAACTAGAACTGAACTAGAACTGAACTAGAACTGAACTAGAACTGAACTAGAACTGAACTAGAACTGAACTAGAACTGAACTAGAACTGAACTAGAACTGAACTAGAACTGAACTAGAACTGAACTAGAACTGAACTAGAACTGAACTAGAACTGAACTAGAACTGAACTAGAACTGAACTAGAACTGAACTAGAACTGAACTAGAACTGAACTAGAACTGAACTAGAACTGAACTAGAACTGAACTAGAACTGAACTAGAACTGAACTAGAACTGAACTAGAACTGAGCTAGAACTAGAACTGAAGAACTGAACTAGAACTGAACTAGAACTGAACTAGAACTGAACTAGAACTGAACTAGAACTGAACTAGAACTGAACTAGAACTGAACTAGAACTGAACTAGAACTGAACTAGAACTGAACTAGAACTGAACTAGAACTGAACTAGAACTGAACTAGAACTGAACTAGAACTGAGCTAGAACTAGAACTGAGCTAGAACTAGAACTGAACTAGAACTGAACTAGAACTAGAACTGAGCTAGAACTAGAACTGAACTAGAACTGAACTAGAACTGAACTAGAACTGAACTAGAACTGAACTAGAACTGAACTAGAACTGAACTAGAACTGAACTAGAACTGAACTAGAACTGAACTAGAACTGAACTAGAACTGAACTAGAACTGAACTAGAACTGAACTAGAACTAAACTAGAAAACTAGAACTGAACTAGAACTGAACTAGAACTGAACTAGAACTGAACTAGAACTGAACTAGAACTGAACTAGAACTGAACTAGAACTGAACTAGAACTGAACTAGAACTGAACTAGAACTAGAACTGAACTAGAACTGAACTAGAACTGAACTAGAACTGAACTAGAACTGAACTAGAACTGAACTAGAACTGAACTAGAACTGAACTAGAACTGAACTAGAACTGAACTAGAACTGAACTAGAACTGAACTAGTACTGAACTAGAACTGAACTAGAACTGAACTAGAACTGAACTAGAACTGAACTAGAACTAGAACTGAACTAGAACTGAACTAGAACCGAACTAGAACTGAACTAGATTTGAATTAGAACTTTGAATACAATATATTTTTTGTATGGAAGGAGAGACATCCCAGAAAGTGATTATAATCCAATTTTCAAATTGGTTTTGTGCGTTTCCAACATCAGTAAAAACTCAGTGATAGTGATTTTAAAATGTATAACAGGAAACCTATATAAATACTTTTAATTATAACAAATTAACTGAAATATCGTATGTTGACCTATAATTAAAAATTAAATTTCTTTAGTAGTTTTTTGAACAAAAAAACAAAGTTGTATGTTTGTTTTAAAATTTAAATATAAATAGTTTTTTTGTTTTTTATTTTTAAAATTCACTAACAATGCACGAGCGAGTAGCTACACTGATAAGCACGACTCTATTTAATATAGGCAGCCAGGACACATGTGGCAAACGTTGCATTTACATGTGGGCCATATCACTACAGCACTTTGTTAAACCGCGTCATTAGTTTAAAGGGGGGTTTTATCAATATTTTCACACTTTTTGAAAAAAAAAATAAATATGTATATGACATATGTGTCAAGTAGTGTAAGGCGTTTGAGATTTTCAGCACCCTCATTTTAATTTTTTTTTTAGTTAGATAAATAATGTAAAATTTTACAATATTTGATTCAAGAAGATAACTTTGAAAATAGTAAATTGATTGCGAAATATTGAAAACAATCTATACTAAAACAAAATTATAGATATATCGATAATTGTGCAATTTTCGATAGAAAATTCTTAATACGTTAATAAGTTAAAAGTTTTCTGTAGAAAATGCATCGATAAATAAAAAATTTTAATAATGAAAGGCCTATAAAAAGAACTGCATGTTCAAAATATAACCGAAAATATGGTTAAAAATTTAGGGTTTTAAGATTTTATCATATCTCTTAGAACTAGAACTGAACTAGAACTGAACTAGAACTGAACTAGAACTGAACTAGAACTGAACTAGAACTGAACTAGAACTGAACTAGAACTGAACTAGAACTGAACTAGAACTGAACTAGAACTGAACTAGAACTGAACTAGAACTGAACTAGAACTGAACTAGAACTGAACTAGAACTGAACTAGAACTGAACTAGAACTGAACTAGAACTGAACTAGAACTGAACTAGAACTGAACTAAAACTGAACTAGAACTGAACTAGAACTGAACTAGAACTGAACTAGAACTGAACTAGAACTGAACTAGAACTGAACTAGAACAAGAACTGAACTAGAACTGAACTAGAACTGAACTAGAACTGAACTAGAACTGAACTAGAACTAGAACTGAACTAGAACTGAACTAGAACTGAACTAGAACTGAACTAGAACTGAACTAGAACTGAACTAGAACTGAACTAGAACTGAACTAGAACTGAACTAGAACTGAACTAGAACTGAACTAGAACTGAACTAGAACTGAACTAGAACTGAACTAGAACTGAACTAGAACTGAACTAGAACTGAACTAGAACTGAACTAGAACTGAACTAGAACTGAACTAGAACTGAACTAGAACTGAACTAGAACTGAACTAGAACTGAACTAGAACTGAACTAGAAAACTGAACTAGAACTGAACTAGAACTGAACTAGAACTGAACTAGAACTGAACTAGAACTGAACTAGAAACTGAACTAGAACTGAACTAGAACTGAACTAGAACTGAACTAGAACTGAACTAGAACTGAACTAGAACTGAACTAGAACTGAACTAGAACTGAACTAGAACTGAACTAGAACTGAACTAGAACTGAACTTGAACTGAACTAGAACTGAACTAGAACTGAACTAGAACTGAACTAGAACTGAATTAGAACTGAACTAGAACTGAACTAGAACTGAACTAGAACTGAACTAGAACTGAACTAGAACTGAACTAGAACTGAACTAGAACTTGACTAGAATGAACTAGAACTGAACTGAACAGAACTAAAGCTGAACTAGAGCTGAACTAGAACTTCAGTAGAACTGAACTAGAACTGAATTAGAACTGAACTAGAACTGAACTAGAACTGAACTAGAACTGAACTAGAACTGAACTAGAACTGAACTAGAATGAACTAGAACTGACTAGAACTGAAACTAGAACTGAACTAGAACTTGAACTAGAACTGAACTAGAACAGAACTAAAGCTGAACTAGAAACTGAACTAGAACTAGTAGACTGAATTAGAACTGAATTAGGACTGAACTAGAACTGAACTAGAACTGAACTAAAACAGAACTAGAATTGAACTAAACTAGAACGGAACTATAGCAGAAGATGAACCAAAAATCGAATCGGTAAGAGATCTGAACTAAAGCTGAAATATGTATAAATTTTCTAACTGCTAAGGCTTTTTAAACCTTCTCCATATTGAGAAGTACTTCAAATGACTAATTTTGTTAAGATTTTTGTAATTAGATCTCATGGAAATATTATCTGAATTCTGTTCAAAATGAGTCATCTGAAAGTCGAGAATAACTATGGGCAAATAAATAATTTTCAAATTCGTTTTATTATAAAATAGTACATAATATTAAGCCATTTAAATTATACAATATTAATCTCCTGTGCTGCATTAATCATGCCTACAAAACCATCTAAAACTTCTTTAGCTACTGGCAGAATCATTTCTGGAGGTAGAACGAAACCATATTCACCCTTATCACGCAGTTCTATGGTGTAAGGAATAGGAATACCTTTTACGCCATAAGCCCACTCCTTTCCGGAGCCCGAAACTTTGTCTGAAAGAAGGTGAAAATGTATGAACAAAAAACATGCTAATGATAACGGAATCAAACGTACATAAAGTAGTTAGCACTTGAACCATAAGTGAAAACGGTTTTATATCTACGATATAAAGCATCAGCATAACCCTTGGCAACATGCATCATTTGTTCGTAATGCTCAGGGAATTCGGTATCAGTATGGCCCCAGGGTGATAAAACGTATTGGCCATAGGAGTGCAACGAATATAAATCTTAATGGTATCTTCGGGTATGGTATTGTTAATAAATTGCAACATTTGTTTGATTTCCTGGTCAGATTCGGCCGAAGGACCAGCATAGGTTTCGGAACAAGGATCCGAAGAGGCACCAGTTACTAGAGTAGTAAAGAAAATAATGTTTTAATAACGTTTAGTTTTGAAAGATCAGCTAACTTACACATCCATAAGAAATCGAAATTACGATTCAGATCGGTGCCAATACATTTGCCGGTAGGATCAGAGGGCAATCTAGATTTACGCCACATACGATTCTAAAAAAAGTATTAAGTAATGATAATCGAAATTATTCAATAAGTATTTTCATTGATAACATTTAATTGAAAGCACTTATTTAATAGAATAACAAGTCTTATCGAAATCTTATCAAATTTATTTGTACCACTAACACACTTACCACTTCATGTGAGTACACAAACCATCAACATTTAATACTGGTATATCCACCAGTCAACACTTTCGGCAATTTTTCTTACACCAGGATTACGTGGTACCAATAACTCATCAATAATGTAGGTAATCGTGGCAGAAGTAATCCATTCTCTAGCATGTATATTGGATTCTATGAATACAGCCTTGTTACCCGGTTTATAGGAGATTTTTATACCTTTAATTAAACGTCCCTCATAGGAATAACCAATATCGAAGGGTGTTACAATATCGGGATAACGTTCAGCAATCATATCTAACCATTCATAGATTTCATCGAGAGTGTGGAAATTTTCCCAATCCATGCCCGTGGAAGATCTAGTTTTTGGTTGTTCGTTATCGATTAGACTGGAAAAAATAAAAAATATTTGAAATCAATAGGATTTTGCGAATAGAACTGATCTAGAACTGAAACTAGAACTAGAACTAGAACTGAACTAGAACTGAATTAGAACTGAACTAGAACTGAACTAGAACTGACTAGAATTGAACTAGAATTGAACTAGAACTGAACTAGAACTGAACTAGAACTGAACTAGAAACTGAACTAGAACTGAACTATAACTGAACTATAACTGAACTAGAACTGAACTAGAACAGAACTAGAACTGAACTAGAACAGAACTAGAACAGAAATAGAACTGAACTAGAACTGAAATAGAACTGAAATAGAACTGAAATAGAACTGAAATAGAACTGAAAAGAACGGAAATAGGCAACTTAACTAGAACTGAACTAGAACTGAACTAGAACTGAATAGACTGAACTAGAACTGAACTAGAACTGAACTAGAACTGAACTAGAACTGACTAGACAACTGAACTAGAACTGAACTAGAACTGAACTAGAACTGAACTGAACTGAATAGAACTGAACTAGAACTGAACTAGAACTGAACTAGAACTGAACTAGAACTGAACTAGAACTGAACTAGAACTGAACTAGAACTGAACTAGAACTGAACTAGAACTGAACTAGAACTGAACTAGAACTGAACTAGAACTGAACTAGAACTGAACTAGAACTGAACTAGAACTGAACTAGAACTGAACTAGAACTGAACTAGAACTGAACTAGAACTGAACTAGAGAACTGAACTAGAACTGAACTAGAACTGAACTAGAACTGAACTAGAACTGAACTAAACTGAACTAGAACTGAACTAGACTGAACTAGAACTGAACTAGAACTGAACTAGAACTGAACTAGAACTGAACTAGAACTGAACTAGAACTGAACTATAACTGAACTAGAACTGAACTAGAACTGAACTAGAACTGAACTAGAAGAACTAGAACAGAAAGAACTAGAACTGAACTAGAACTGAACTAGAACTGAACTAGAACTGAACTAGAACTGAACTAGAATGAACTAGAACTGAACTAGAACTGAACTAGAACTGAACTAGAACTGAACTAGAACTGAACTAGAACTGAACTAGAACTGAACTAGAACTGAACTAGAACTGAACTAGAACTGAACTAGAACTGAACTAGAACTGAACTAGAACTGAACTAGAACTGAACTAGAACTGAACTAGAACTGAACTAGAACTGAACTAGAACTGAACTAGAACTGAACTAGAACTGAATAGAACTGAAACTAGAACTGAACTAGAACTGAACTAGAACTGAACTAGAACTGAACTAGAACTGAACTGAAACTGAACTAGAACTGAACTAGAACTGAACTAGAACTGGACTAGAACTGAATTAGAACTGAACTAGAACTGAACTAGAACTGAACTAGAACTGAAATAGAACTGAACTAGAACTAGAACTGAACTAGAACTGAACTAGAACTGAACTAGAACTGATCTAAAACTGAACTAAACTAGAACATAACTAGAACTGATCTAAAACTGAAATTCTTATACCACATGAATGATCCAAATATACATTTATGTTGCTCATACCTTTGAACATTTTGAATTTTAATTTCATAAACAATGTTACTTTGCACTAAAATCTCTTCAAATTTCTGCTGTAAATCAGGTTTAACCATAATATCAAACGATTCGCCAAAATTATGAACGTCATTCCAAAAATCCAGCTAGGATAGAAAAGAAACAAATTTAATTGCTATTTTCCCTTTATTTTAAATTTTCACTCTCCTACCTCCAATTCACCTTCTAGAGCCATCACTTGATTATATTGTTCAACATTATCAATTTTTACTTTATAAACTTTGTAGTTATCATAACGCATAGGCTGCTCTTCCTGATCCTTGGGTACAACAACGGCTGCTAAAGTTAAATTAACCAGAAGTACTAGAGCCACAAGTGGTTTACTATAACCACTTCTAAACATTTTTCTCGTAAAACGTTAAAGAACCTAGTGCCGCAATTATCAAACAGCTACTGAATTTTTAAAGTGGATTTCTTGAACTCTTAACTTATTTTTTTATTTATTTTATATACAAGTTTTATGGTATTTGGTGAAAAAGAATTGATTATTTATTTTGAATTTCAAGTGCCCGTATTCTCAAAGTAATTTAGATTACAGACAGTTATTTAGGTGTTTTGGCTAATTAAGTTTTGTATTGAATAGGTTCATATCTAAGAGTACAGAAAAATGTTAAAACACTAACTGCTGACTCTTGTTAGTAAGTGGGTTGTTATTTAACATTCTGCACAACATATCTTTTACTATTTAACACTAATTAACAGAGATCCCGTATCAGAGTTGGCCAATATAAAGAATTTAGTACAAATTAATGTCGATAAAGCAGTGTGAATTAGAGCCAAACTAGAACAGAAATAGGAATAAACTAGAACTGAACTAGAACAGACCTAGAACAGAACTAGAACAGAACTAGAACAGAACTAGAACGAACTAGAACAGAACTAGAACAGAACTAGAACAGAACTAGAACAGAACTAGAACAGAACTAGAACAGAACTTGAGCAGAACTATAGCAGAACTAGAGTAGAACTAGAACAGAACTAGAACTGGACTAAAACTAGACTAGTACAGAACTAGAACAGAACTAGAACAGAACTAGAACCAGAACTAGAACAGAACTAGAACTGAACTAGAACTGAGCTAGAACTGAACTAGAACTTAACTAGAACTGACTAGAACTGAACTAGAACTGAACTAAACAGAACTAGAACAGAAACTAGAACAGAACTAGAACAGAACTAGAACAGAACTAGAACTGAACTAGAACTGAACTAGAACTGAACTAGAACTGAACTAGAACTGAACTAGAACTGAACTAAACTGAACTAGAACTGAACTAGAACTGAACTAGAACTGAACTAGAAGTGAACGAACTAGAACAGAACTAGAACAGAACTAGAACAGAACTAGAACAGAACTAGAAAGAACTGAACTAGAACTGCACTAGAACTGAACTAGAACTGAACTAGAACGAACTAGAACTGAACTGAACTAGAATGAACTAGAACTGAACTAGAACTGAACTAGAACTAAACTAGAACTGAACTAGACTAGAACTAGAACAGAACTAGAACTAGAACCTAGAACTGAACTAGAACTGGAACTAGAACTGAACTAGAACTGAACTAGAACTGTAACTAGAACTGAACTAGAACTGAACTAGACTGAACTAGAACTGAACTAGAACTGAACTAGAACTGAACTAGAACTGAACTAGAACTGAACTAGAACTGAACTAGAACTGAACTAGAACTGAACTAGAACTGAACTAGAACTGAACTATAACTGAACTTAGAACTGAACTAGAACTAGAACTAGAACTGAACTAGAACTGAACTAGAACTGAACTAGAACTGAACTAGAACTGAACTAGAACTGAACTAGAACTGAACTAGAACTGAACTAGAACTGAACTAGAACTGAACTAGAACTGAACTAGAACTGAACTAGAACTGAACTAGAACTGAACTAGAACTGAACTAGAACTGAACTAGAACTGAACTAGAACTGAACTAGAACTGAACTAGAACTGAACTAGAACTGAACTAGAACTGAACTAGAACTGAACTAGAACTGAACTAGAACTGAACTAGAACTGAACTAGAACTGAACTAGAACTGAACTAGAACTGAACTAGAACTGAACTAGAACTGAACTAGAACTGAACTAGAACTGATTAACTGAATAGAACTGAACTAGAACTGAACTAGAACTGAACTAGAACTGACTGAACTAGAACTGAACTAGAACTGAACTAGAACTGAACTAGAACTGAACTAGAACTGAACTAGAACTGAACTAGAACTGAACTAGAACTGAACTAGAACGAACTAGAACTGAACTAGAACTGAACTAGAACTAGAACTGAACTAGAACTGAACTAGAAACTGAACTAGAACTGAACTAGAACTGAACTAGAACTGAACTAGAACTGAACTAGAACTGAACTAGTACTGAACTAGAACTGAACTAGAACTGAACTAGAACTGAACTAGAACTGAACTAGAACTGAACTAGAACTGAACTAGAACTGAACTAGAACTGAACTAGAACTGAACTAGAACTCAACTAGAACTGAACTAGAACTGAACTAGAACTGAACTAGAACTAAACTAGAACTGAACTAGAACTGAACTAGAACTGAACTAGAACTGAACTAGAACTGAACTAGAACTGAACTAGAACTGAACTAGGACTGAACTAGAACTAAACTAGAACTGAACTAGTTTAAAGGTTTTAAGTTTAAAGGGCCTCGATTTTCGGGGGATTGAGGTTTTGCCATTTAAACGAGTGTGAGATTTAAATTTTAATAACTGTTTCTATTCACTGATTATATTTTAATCTTAAACTGTAAAATCTGTATCATATGTTTGGGATTACCCCTGTAATTTATTTATTTGTCTGTTAAATAAACATCTTTAAGTTATTTAATATAGCAAATAAACAAATCTTTACAATAGGTTTTAAAATTTATTTCTTTAACCATGTGTTGGAAGAATGTTGACCGACCTATGCCAACTCAATTTGGTTAAAAAATAACTGGTGTTTGCTTTCTTTAGTGCTTAATTTATATTGAGGTGGTTAATATTTTTATTTGCAAAGCATTTTATTGTCAGAGTTAGTAAAAAACCTAGCAGATTTGTAGACGTACGATAGAAAGTTAGCAAAATAAGCAAGACCACCAGTCGTGTGTTTTAATTTTTTTATTTATTTAAACATGTAGTTAATATCTTCTAAAACAGTTCGTCGTCGTTATTGTATTTCGGCACCTAATCAAATAGACCCTCTTCTTTGGCTTTTTCCATCATGGCTACCAGACCGTCAGTAACTTCCTCACAGACCTCTACAATTTGAGATGGAGGCAGAAAGAAACCATATTGACCGCGATCACGTAGTTCAATGGTGGCAGTAAAGGGTATTTTCTTAACGCCATAAGCCCAATCCTTAGCAGAACCCGAAACTGGATCTAATGGAAATAAAAAAAGAAATATGTAAGATAAACATTTGAAGAAATAAAGTTGTTGTTAAACTTACAGTTTAATAAACCACTGGCACCACTTAAGAAATCGGTGCCATATTTAACACGAGCACCATCAGCAAAGGCGCTAGCTATACGCATCATTTGATCATAATTAGGAGGGAATTCTATGCTGGTATGACCATAAGGTAAAAGCACATAATTGCCAAAGGAATGAATAGCTAAATACATGCGTATATAATCATCTTCAAAACTATTAACAAAACTTTGCAAGGCAATAATTTCAGGCTCAGAATCGGGTTTAGCACCACCATACCAATGATCACAAGGAACATCAAAATTATAACCATTAACTAGAAAATAAATCAATTATTTCAATGTAAAGAAAATACCTTATAATCGATATCTTACCTCCCCATTCGAAATCAAAATTACGATTCATATCTATACCATAACAGGCTCCCGAGGCATTATAGAAACCAGTGGGTCTACGATTCTTACGCCATAATCTCTCCACATTGTGTGAGTACTCAAAACCATCGGGATTCAAAACGGGTACAAATATCCAATCATAGTTTTCTAATAAGTTCTTCATATTGGGATCTTCAGAATTGAGTAAATTCTCAAAGAAACAGGTAGTGGTGGCCGATGAAATCCACTCGATAGCGTGTATATTGGACTCTACGAATATGGCTTTATTACCAGGTTTTGAGGAAATTTTCACAGCTCTAATGGGTCGCTGTTCATAAGAACGACCTATAACATAGGATTTAACTAATTTGGGATTTTTGGCATTTAATTTTTGTAACCAATTATAAATAACAGGCAAATCGTGATATTGTGTCCAATCCATTTCGACATTGGTGCGTTGCATAGAGCGAGTTAGGGCCTGGGACTCTTCTTCTATGACACTGTAAAGAAAATACATGATAACGAGACCATAAAACTTTAAAGTTTTCAACATACCTTTGTAAATCTTCTATAACACAAGAGTAATCCAATTCCAGAAAACGTAATTGGGATTCCAAATTATGTTGGTTGGCGGGATCAATGACAACATCATAAGTGTGTCCCGGACCCTTAAGTTCATTTAAATAGCGCAACTAGAAATTAATAAAAACATGTTCTTTAAGTTATTTTGGAACCTTAATAATTACAATTTCCCCCCACTTACCGGTAAATGATTGCCCAATTTCCTAAATTCTGCAAATTGTTGTACATCCTTAACATTGACCCGATAGACCTTAAAGTCATCATAGCGTGCTGCGAATTGATTTGCTTCATTTACCGCCAAAAGGCCCAAAAACCCTACAACTACTAATAGCAACTTCATTTCGTCTTCAACGTTTGCCTTCAGTTCGAATTGTGTTTCTAATAACGCTACGAGTTCATACTTTTATATGAATTTATCCAATTGAGAAAAAAGATTTTGTTTATTTAGTTCTTTTGTTGTGATACTTTAGTTTTATATCTCAGTCGATTAATTCTAAAACGTGTTCCTCATTTTTTCTAAAAGTACTTTCTTATCAATTTATATTCTAATTGCTTTACGATTTTCATCGTGTGATATGTTCTTTATTTCTAAATTTACGAACATATGTATCTAAATTTTAATATCTCAGATGGTATTTAGCATTTATAACAGATGGCATTATTAAGTTTAATTAGATTTATATATTTCATTAGAATGTTGCGGTGACGTAAAGGGACTCGATGTAAATACCATTATTAGAAATTAGTTCACAACTTTGAATGAAGTGCTCGATATACTTTTTTCATAATTCCACTTTTTTTTCGGACCTAGGTATATATATTGCGAACTTAAAACTCGAGATCTACTACCGTCTCCCAGATCACAACATGATTTTCCCAGCGGAATTCCTTGCCTTTACGAAATGTCTTAAAAGGTTTGAAGATTGTAGCGACTTTTCCCATTACTAGATATCGATAAGCGATGTCGGCAGTTAAAATTAAGTCCAAGACCTTAAGTGATCATCAACCAACTATTATTTCTATTAAAAATCTTTTTTTTATTCAAAATCACTTACTCTCTCGAGTTCCAAAAAGTTCGATTCATAATTGAACCAAGTTCTCACAGATGACCCTCTTTATATAGATATATCCAAAGACAATTGGAGTCTCAGCCGACCTAATATTATCAACTCAGCGTCTGCTTTATCAACCGAAAGTTTTCTCCTCAGAAAGGAAATATCGGTAACAGTTGAACAGTTACAACAACAAATACGAGCATCCTCTTTTCAAAATACTAAGGAATGCTACGAGGCATCTGAAGAGTGTGATGAAACATAATATAAAATGAAGAGATTTCGGTAAAAGTTCGGAAATTTCTAGTTTACTATCAAATTTTTTGTCTATCGGTCAGGGGTTCGTGATTTCGATTCATACAAAAGAGTGCTTAAACTGAAAATCTGAGCCATGATTTTGAAAATCGGTGGAAATCTCTATTTTCTACCAATAATGATTCTATAACAAACAATTCGTTTTTCAATTTATATGTTAGAGTAAAAAGTTAATAGGCTCCTTTCCGGCATAATTGAAAACTAAGATTCTGAAAAGCTGAGTCAATAGTCTGAAAATCGGTGAGCACCTTTATTTTCCAACAAATTTTGATTTTTTTTTTTTTTGAAAACCTAAACATCCAATTTCTGTTTAGCGTCAACAAATGTAAATCTTTGAAAAATTCGATTTTGGACTGAAAGTTTATATTCCGACAAAAACTAGAGAAACTATTGTGATGATTCGAAAATGAATGGACCGATTTTAGGGAAAATTTTACAGTGTCTTTTGTCTGAAAGGAACTTGCCTGAAAGGAACTTACTTAGGTTACTTCGAACCTAGGGTCTTCAAGTTACAGTGGGTGTGGCACCTCCCATTGTATGGGGCCTATATGAAATAATGGACCGATTTTAACTATTTCCAATGGGCTTCGTCCTTGGGTCAAAAGAAGAGTATGTGCAATATCGTCTAATTATCTTGAAAATTGCGACCTGTAGGGTGTGCTAAAGGTTTACATGAACACACAGGCGGACGGACATAGCTAATTCGACTCAGAAAGTGATGCTAAGCCGATTGATATACTTTAAGGTGGGTATTTTTGGGTGTTACAAACATCAGCACAAACGCATAATACCCTTCCCACAACAGTGCTCTTAGAGCTAGAATCTTCAAAATTGTAAAGTGGGTTTTCATTTATGTATCTTATTTCTAGGGTAGCAAAGCACACAGGGTATAGCTAGTATAAAGTGGTATTTCCCCAGAAATATATTAAACTGTAGATTTCTTAGAAAGCAAACAAACTTTACAATTCAATTTGTGAAAAGTTTGTTTGAAATCTATGTTTGTGTTATTGGCCATACCATCTCGAACTTAGTAAACAATTATATAATGTTTAGTATCTAATATACATATATATATATATTGGGATCTCACTTTAGACCATTTGTTAAATGTGTACTTTATGCCACCAGCTTTACTGTAAACGAAAAAGATAAAAAGACTCTCAACACATTTTATAAATCATTAACATACATAAATATTTACTAAATAAATCTGAACAATATTTGTTTAAAATTTTTATTTGACATTATTTCTTATTTGATGATTCTAATCAAATAATCCCTCTTTCTGAGCTTTATCCACCATGGCCACCAAACCATCTGTTACCCTCCTCACAGACCTCTCTAATTTGAGAAGGTGGCAAAAAGAAACCATATTGACCACGATCTCTTAATTCAATAGTAGCCGTAAAAGGTATTTTCTTAACACCATAAGCCCAATCCTTGGCAGAACCAGAAACAGGATCTTAATAAAAAGAAAAACAAATATTTCAAACTGAAATTAAGAAAAATAAATTTCCAACTTACAGTTCAATAAACCACTAGCACCACTTTTGAAATCGGTACCATATTTCACACGAGCCGCATCAGCAAAAGCATTAGCTATACGCATCATTTGATCATAATTGGGAGGAAATTCGGTATTAGTATGACCATAAGGTAACAGCACATAATTGCCAAAGGAATGAAAAGCTAAATACATGCGTATATAACCATCTTCGAAGCTATTAACAAACCGTTCTAAGGCCTGAACTTCGGGCTCAGAGTCGGGTTTAGCACCACCATACCAATGATCGCAGGGGACATCAAAATTATAACCACTAACTGTAAAATTCAAATATATATTTTACTTTTCCTTAAGATCACACTTATTTACACTCTTACTTCCCCATCCATAGCCAAAATTACGATTCATATCTATACCATAACAAGGACCTGAGGCATTATGGAAACCCGTTGGTCTACGATTCTTACGCCATAATCTCTCAACATTGTGTGAGTACTCAAAACCATCAGGATTCAAAACGGGAACAAATATCCAATCATAATTTTCTAATAAGTTCTTCATATTGGGATCTTCAGAATTCAATAAATTCTCAAAGAAACAGGTAGTGGTGGCCGATGAAATCCACTCGATGGCATGTATATTGGACTCTACGAAAATGGCTTTATTACCCGGTTTAGCGGAAATTTTTATGGCCTTAATGGGACGTTTTTCATAAGAACGACCTATAACATAGGGTTTGACTAAACGGCGATGTTTTGAGGTTAATTTCTGTAACCAACTATAAATGACAGGTAAATCATGGTACTGAGTCCAATCCATGTCGGAGCGCTTACGTTGTATATTAGTTTGACGGGTTTCAGGTTGACATTCTTCTTCTAAGACACTGGATTTATGGAAATTATTCGATAAATTTTATTTTCGATTTATTCTCAATTGGTAAAATGTTCGATAAATTTTCTTTTAGAAGAAATTTTTGTTAAATTTCCTTTTTAGATGAAGTTTTCGATAAATTTTCTTTTAATAGAAAATTTTCGATAAATTTTCTTTTTATAGAAAATTTTCGATAAATTTTCTTTTTATAGAAAATTTTCGATAAATTTTCCTTTTATAGAAAATTTTCGATAAATTTTCTTTTTATAGAAAATTTTCGATAAATTTTCTTTTTATAGAAAATTTTCGATAAATTTTCTTTTTATAGAAAATTTTCGATAAATTTTCTTTTTATAGAAAATTTTCGATAAATTTTCTTTTTATAGAAAATTTTCGATAAATTTTCTTTTTATAGAAAATTTTCGATAAATTTTCTTTTTATAGAAAATTTTCGATAAATTTTCTTTTTATAGAAAATTTTCGATAAATTTTCTTTTTATAGAAAATTTTCGATAAATTTTCTTTTTATAGATAAATTTCCTTTTTATAGAAAATTTTCGATAAATTTTCTTTTAATAGAAAATTTTCGATAAATTTTCCTTATATAGAAAATTTTCGATAAATTTTCCTTATATAGAAAATTTTCGAAAAATTTTCTTTATATAGAAAATTTTCGATAAATTTTCCTTATATAGAAAATTTTCGATAAATTTTCCTTATATAGAAAATTTTCGATAAATTTTCCTTATATAGAAAATTTTCGATAAATTTTCCTTATATAGAAAATTTTCCTTATATAGAAAATTTTCGATAAATTTTCCTTATATAGAAAATTTTCGATAAATTTTCCTTATATAGAAAATTTTCGATAAATTTCCTTATATAGAAAATTTTCGATAAATTTCCTTATATGTATAGAAAATTTTCGTTCAATTTTCTTTTTATGGAAAATTTTCGTTCAATTTTCTTTTTATAGAAAATTTTCGATAAATTTTCCTTATATAGAAAATTTTCCTATATAGAAAATTTTCTTTTATAGAATATTTTCGCTGAATTTTCTTTTTATAAAAAATTTTCGCTAAATTTTGTTAGGAAATTTTTATAGGAAATTTTCGTTAAATTTTCTTTTTATAGAAGATTTTCATTTATAGAAAATTTTCGTTAAATTTTCTTTTTATAGAAAAATTTCGTTAAATTTTCTTTTTATACAAAAATATCGTTAAATTTTCTTTTTATAGAAAATTTTCAATAAATTTTGTTTTTATAGAAAATTTTCGATAAATTTTCATCAATCTACCTTTGTAAATCGTCGATCATGCAGGAGAATTCTAATTCCAGAAAACGTAATTGCGTTTCCAACTTGTTTTGATTTGCAGGATCGATAACAACATCATAACTTTGACCAGGACCTTTAAGTTCATTCAAATAGCGCAACTGTAATTGAAAAAAAAAAAAAAAATAAAATATTATTTTAACCAAAGTTAAACTGTTATTCCCATTCCATTTTAATTTTCTACCAAATCTTCCAAAACATTCTCCACTTACCGGTAAACTATCACACAATTTAATAAATTCCTTTAATTGCTGATCGTCCTTTACCATGACTCTATAAACCTTAAAATCATCATAGCGTGCTGCGAATTGATTTGCCGAACTTACAGCCAATAGACTCGCAAAGCCTATAAATACTAATAGCACCTTCATAATTGAACTTGCCCGTTTGCTTACGATTTTAATTGTGTTTCTAATGTCGTGAGCTACCCATACTTTTATATGACTTTAAACGATCTTTTAAATGCTTTTTGTTTATTTATTATTATTTTGCTTTAAATTTAATAATTTTGAATAAACAAAAGATATTGATTTTAAACTTAATACTTTAGCGCACAAAAACGTGTTATTCATATTTTTTCGGAAGACCTTTATCGTAATTGGTTTATAATTTATTTTGTAGGATATTTTAGTTCAAAATTTTGTACGAATTTCAGTTATAAATGGAAAAGTCACTGGTTCTTTGGCTCATTCAGTTCGAAAGACTAGTTGAGAATGTTTTTGTTAAAACTTGAGAAAAAAAATCCTAAGATACATATATCATTAGATTTTAAACAATTATTATTTCTTTATAGTTTTTTTTAATAAATCAAATAAATAGTTCAAACAACAACAAAATTGTGCTTCTCATAGTACCGTGTCTGTCTGATGAGAATTTCATTTTAAGGCCTACCGCGCACGTATTCATTTGTATTCGAAATATGATGTAACGTGAACTCTATAAATAATCAATAGACATCATAATACATTTTGTTGGGTAAAGCTTTCTCTAGAGGAGAAGTGTGCTTAAACTATAAAATTATAATTAAAACGCTTTAAAAGCAATTAAAATCTATTAAACAAGTAACTGACTTCCATATAAATAAGTTTTAAATAATTTACTAATACAGTTTATTCCGAAAATTATTTATTCAAAATCGTTTTATTTCTTTTTACCCATAATGCTAAAATACACTTATGAGATTTACAGATGTGAAATTAAATCGATCTGGTTAAAGTAATTTGAAAAGAAATTCCGTTAAAACGATATTGTTTTAAGAAAATTTGGCAACATAGAAACCGCATCTAAAATGTTTGTCGTTTTAGTTGCATAGTTTTAGGATTGTAATGATCGTGGTTATATTATTATAAAAAAAGAGAGACCCTATTTATTTATTTATCTATCTATCTATCTATCTATCTATCTATCTATCTATCTATCTATCTATCTATCTATCTATCTATCTATCTATCTATCTATCTATCTATCTATCTATCTATCTATCTATCTATCTATCTATCTATCTATCTATCTATCTATCTATCTATCTATCTATCTATCTATCTATCTATCTATCTATCTATCTATCTATCTATCTATCTATCTATCTATCTATCTAGCTATCTATCTATCTATCTATCTATCTATCTATCTATCTATCTATCTATCTATCTATCTATCTATCTATCTATCTATCTATCTATCTATCTATCTATCTATCTATCTATCTATCTATCTATCTATCTATCTATCTATCTATCTATCTATCTATCTATCTATCTATCTATCTATCTATCTATCTATCTATCTATCTATCTATCTATCTATCTATCTATCTATCTATCTATCTATCTATCTATCTATCTATCTATCTATCTATCTTATCTATCTATCTATCTATCTATCTATCTATCTACTCCTATCTATCTATCTATCTATCTATCTATCTATCTATCTATCTATCTATCTATCTATCTATCTATCTATCTATCTATCTATCTATCTATCTATCTATCTATCTATCTATCTATCTATCTATCTATCTATCTATCTATCTATCTATCTATCTATCTATCTATCTATCTATCTATCTATCTATCTATCTATCTATCTACTATCTATCTATCTATCTTATCTATCTATCTATCTATTATCTATCTATCTATCTACTATCTATCTATCTATCTATCTATCTATCTATCTATCTATCTATCTATCTATCTATCTATCTATCTATCTATCTATCTATCTATCTATCTATCTATCTATCTATCTATCTATCTATCTATCTATCTATCTAGCTATCTAGCTATCTATCTATCTATCTATCTATCTATCTATCTATCTATCTATCTATCTTCTATCTATCTATCTATTATCTATCTATCTATCTATCGATCATTATCTATCTATCTATCTATCTATCTATCTATCTATCTATCTATCTATCTATCTAATCTATCTATCTATCTAGCTATCTATCTATCTATCTATCTATCTATCTATCTATCTATCTATCTATCTATCTATCTATCTATCTATCTATCTATCTATCTATCTATCTATCTATCTATCTATCTATCTATCTATCTATCTATCTAGCTATATCTATCTATCTATCTATCTATCTATCTATCTAGCTATCTATCTATCTATCTATCTATCTATCTATCCTATCTATCTATCTATCTAATCTATCTATCTATCTATCTATCTATCTATCTATCTATCTATCTCTATCTAATCCTATCTATCTATCTATCTATCTATATCTAGCTATCTATCTATCTATCTATCTATCTATCTATCTATCTATCTATCTATCTAATCTATCTATCTATCTATCTATCTATCTATCGATCTATCTATCTATCTATCTATCTATCTATCTATCGATCTATCTATCTATCTATCTATCTATTATCTATCTATCTATCTATCTATCTATCTATCTAGCTATCTATCTATCTATCTATCTATCTATCATCTATCTATCTATCTATCTATCTATTATCGATCTACTATCTATCTATCTATCTATCTATCTACTATCTATCTATCTATCTAGCGATCTATCTATCTATCTATCTATCTATCTATCTATCTATCTATCATATCTATCTATCTATCTATCTCTATCTATCTATCTATCGATCTATCGATCTATTCATCCATCTATTCCATCCATCCATCCATCCACCCATCCAGCCATTCATCTAAATGCCTATCTATCTCTAAAAAGGGTCAAAATCTTTGACCGCCTCGTCCATTTCTTATCGAATCGAAATAAAACGATAAAAAAAATTTAATCGGAAAGGAAACAAAATTGTGTTATTTTTGTAAATTCATTAAAAAATAAAAAATAAAGCCCTTTTAAAGAATCCATTCTGGTTTTGTACACATTCTATTTTCTTGCATTAAATAGGCTTTTCTTTGACCCAAATAGGGTGTATGATGTATTGAAAATGAGGGAGCCGCTACGGATTTGTGTTTGAAATACTAAAAACAGAATTTAATCAATTAATTGTTTAATTACTTCATTACATGTGCAATGTTTACTTTCTCTGGACAATGTGCTGCTGGTCCCGGTTTCATGTGTTCATCGCTTATAACCTTGTGTTTACTATGCAAAGTATAACGCGGTGAAAAATTTTGCAAATAACGATAATTATTTTCATAATCCCCAGGACCGGGATTAATTAGAGTGGGAATTTGTCTGGGCTTCTTACGACCCAACATAGTAAAGGCCGGTGCAGCTTTTATTTCACCCTGTTTGGCGGTACCAAATACCGGTGGTAAATTATAAACATTGGGACCTATAATTACATAATATATGTATATAGTGTAAAATCCAGTAAAAAACCATTAACTAACCTGGTGTGGGTATGGTTT